GTAAAAGACTGAAATGCATCTTGTCCTTCAGTGTGGACATCAACATTCAGGGAGTCAACAGGACTGTATAGTGGACGTAGACTGTAAGGCATCATTTCGTTTTTACAATAACCATGAGACTCAGGTTTCAACAAGGACTCATGTGATAAAAATTTACCGGTCTCATAGACAGATCCTCCATGAGGCCAGGAGTCTAGAGAATCCATCTCATGTGCGTCTATTCCAAAGAAAGATAAAGATCCATCATTATCATAGACAGATCCTCTACCAGGTTCTTCAACTGGTTTACGACAGAAGTATGAAGAATAGCAAGTAGAACCGCTCACTATAGGGTGAGATAAATGTTTATGATTAAGACAATGCTGCTTTGTCCGGGCGTCATGGATAACTGCACTACCAGGGCGAAGACAAGTATAGACAGCTTCACGGTCAGGGTCAGGGTCAGGTTGTGCAGAATTAACTCTGCAGATCCTGGACAGAGCGTCCCTGATCCTTCTGGCTGCCCGGCTGAAACACGACGATCCTCTTCCTGTTCTTTCATGTTTCACAGTCGACGCCATTTTGCTGCGTCACAGTCGGAGTCAGTGGAGCTGAATGAGCAACAGAACCCAGGAAATGATCGGGAGACGTTCTCGTCCGTCTTTCTGAGACGCAGGTCTGACTTCACATCTGTGCATCACCTCTGTGCTCATTTCCTGCCCGTGTTTTCAGACCCTTCTTCAGTCCACAACCGACTCTTCTCTTTCTGTCTCTTCGTCTGCTTCGTGTTTTTCTGCTCCCAGACCCTGAAATCAGTTAAGAGGATGTCAGATTAAAATCTCCCACTAATATTTCAGCTCATCTGTTCAACAGACAGACTTGTGTGACCCTAAACGCCCCACCACAGGCCTGCAGTTGATTCCACTGTAACACAGGCTAGGTGTACCTAATAAACTGCCATCAATAATTTATCTTTCAAACAACAAAAACTCAACACAAACGATGAAGAAGGAGACAGGAAGCTTCAAACAGCTGAGAAAACAATGTCAGATTAAAACCACGTTTTCCATAAATTCCTGTAACTGATATTTAAACAGAGCAGCGTTACATTTCATAAAAGCTGATAAACTATAAAAGAGAACTAACACTGCACAGCCTCTTGATAAACTGACTCACCCAGACAGATGCTCTTCCTTTACACTTCATCTCTAACAAACTCACAAACTTTTATCTTTTAATAAAGACGTTAATACAGTTTAATGTCTGACTCACCGCTGAGCTGCTCGTCATGTAACGCAGGAAACACTCGATCAGCTGCTTTGTGATTTCTTCCTCTTCTTCTTTTTTATTCACACTGTTCAACTTACAACCGAACAGGACATTAGTTTTGTTCTTCTGTTTAATAAAGAGTAACTGTTAATTCTGCTGTGAAGTCCATTTAAACTTAATGGTACATACAGCTGTAACTCTGATCTGTCTCCCATCACATCATATCAGATGCTTATGAGAACAGGTAGTTTTGCTCTGATATTTGTACCATCTCAGTGAAGCTGTGTCACCTCTAAATGTCTCCCTTGTTCCTTGTTGTTATGGCGCCCCCTGCCGCCATTAATCCACACTACAGCAGTGGATGAGTTCAGGACAGAAACAGAAGCTCAAACTGAAGGAAAACCAAGAACAAGAAGAACCATGAATCAACACCAGAGAGCTGGAGTAAATCCTTCACAGACTCTTTGTAGATATTTTCTTTATTGCAAGTATTAATATTTATTTAACAGAGGACTTACTGTAATTTATTATTATAGTAATATCTTTCTAATGGGTAGAGGACAGTTTGTCTTTACCATTCTCCGACAGGACATACAGAAGATATGAAAAATATATATCCTAAGAAAAGGATGTTTTCAGTTTATACAGAGGCTACATGTGACTTCAACTACTCTTTGGAGGAAACAACAAAATGGATATCATGGAAAACAAAAACAAAACAACGAATTGTTGAAATAATAAAAACATGGAAGGAAAGTGCAAGTAGAGAAAGTTACGATTAGAATAATAATTACATAAAAATAAAGAATTAATCAAAGGTCAGGAATGAATTATATTTAGACATACGTATATAGAGTTTCCTGTGTTTTTAATACAAGTGTGAACTGGAGAAAATTCATTTTTAGTGCATTACACAATGGAGGGGATGTAGTGAAATAATATTTATGCATGTAGTATTTTGTTCAATATTCTTGTTCGTCATGTTTTTTTTTCTACATTTACGTGGATCTGCCGTGGTGAAACAACAATGATGCGCTGCTTTAAATATTCCTGCTGCAAGGAATTGTGGGACGCCATTATCTCCTTTCCTGTGATATGAAAATAAAATATACTATATTTAAAGAGACGGCACAAAACTCATTCAGTTGAGTTGCTTTACTAATACAAACTTACAGCTACTCTTCTCTGCGTGTGCCCTGGTCTCACTCATTAAACAAGAATCAGCCCTTCATGGGGATGGACATGGGTTCACAAGATCATGAAGATCCCGGTGATGCATTCAAGGTTTGTCTTCAGAGCAACCCAAGATGTTCACAGAGGAAGGGGTCGGCCTCACAGAGAAACTCGATCATCTCTGAACTGGCAGCTTCACCTTTCTTCCTCACTGTGTCGATGACAAAACGAACTTTGTCTCGTTTGTTCTGCATCTCGTCCACTGACTCCCACTCAGGGTCCGTGATCACCTGTATCTCCAACAGTTTGTCCAGCAGACTCTGGAGAACAGGTTCTGATATCGCATGAATCAAACTGCTCCGTATGTCCAGCAGCGTCTGGCTCGACCCATGGGAGCTTTTTCCTGTGGTCAACGAAAGACAAACTTCTCTCGCCCACACACTGTGGGAGCTTTTGCTTTCTTTCAAGAACAGCTGGATTGTCTTCATCATCTTTTTTAAGTACACCTGGAATGATGGGAAGAAGTTGTCATAGTCGTTGCAGTCAAATTCAGATTCTGTCGGTTCGACTCGAAGCGAGTCGTCTTCAGGACAAGTGGACAGTGTGTAAACCTGATCCGGCTGCAGTTTACACTGTGGGGTTTTTTCTATGTACCTCTCATCTCCGACTAACTTCTTCCTGGTGCGCTGCACTTTCAGCACAGAGACATTTTTCGGTAGCAACAACACGTTGATCACAGATTCAACATCAGGATCAGGTGAGGGCCTGTAGAAGAGCAGAACCAGCGCTCGGACCGGGACAGGAGGCGAGTCTTCATCCTTGACGTTACCGAAACCAGAAAACCCAGTGATGTTTATAATGACATGAGTTTCTGTTATCTCATGAGGGGTGATCAACTCCATGCTCTCCTCCTTCACATGAGCTACTGACAGGAAGTGGCATCCTCCTGTGGAGCTGATCTCACAGTGTGGGAGATGAAGCCGACACACAGACTGCTGGACACATCTGATGTCAAACAGGGGTCCTGCAGGCTTCTTGTGATACTGAGCCAGTTGCCTCCTGTCCCAGGGGACGATCCTGTAAACCACGTCCCCTTCTCCCTCCATGTGAAACAGCAGGCCTGTCACTCTGCACTGGTACAGGCCTGGGCGGGAGCACTGGAAGCTGTAGCTTTCATCGTTTTCTTCCTCGGTGATATCGGGTGTAAACTCCTCGTAGCTGGTTTGTGACGTCACGTCAGGTGAACTTTGAGCTCGTCTAAACTTCCTGTTCTCTGCAGAGATGATCTGACTGAGTGAGGGAACGCTGACAGAACGAGGCAAACGGCCGGAGTCTCTTCCACTTAAACCGGGATCTGAGGAGGAGATGTGGAGCTGAGAACAGGTTGGCAGGGTGTTTGTGACTGAGTAGTTCACAGCTGCAACAGACGCCTCCGTTTCCACCAGGGCTTCACTGTCGCTGGTGTTTTCAGGCTGCAGAGTAAAAGACTGAAATGCATCTTGTCCTTCAGTGTGGACAGTAACATCCGGGGAGACAACAAGACTGGATTGTGGACATGGACTGTAAGACATCACTTCGTTTTTACAATAACCATGAGACTCAGGTCTCAAGAAGGACTCTTGTGATAGAAATTTACTGGTCTCATAGACAGATCCTCCATGAGGCCAGGAGTCTAGAGAATCCATTTCATGTGCGTCTATTCCAAAGAAAGATAATGATCCATCAGTATCATAGAAAGATCCTCTACCAGTTTCTTGAACTGGTTTACCACAGTAGTATGGAGAATAGTAAATAAAACTTCTCGCTATAGGGCGAGATAAACGTTCAGGATTAAGACAATGCTGCTCTGTCCGGGCGTCATTGATAAATGCACTAAAAGGGTAACGATCAGTATAGTCAAGGTCAGGGTCAGGGTCAGGTTGTGCAGAATTAACTCTGCAGATCCTGGACAGAGCGTCCCTGATGCTTCTGGCTGCCCGACTGAAACACGACGATCCTCTTCCTGTTCTTTCATGTTTCACAGTCGACGCCATTTTGCTGCGTCACAGTCGGAGTCGGTGGAGCTGAATGAGCAACAGAACCCAGGAAATGATCGGGAGACGTTCTCGTCCGTCTTTCTGAGACGCAGGTCTGACTTCACATCTGTGCATCACCTCTGTGCTCATCTCCTGCCCGTGTTTTCAGACCCTTCTTCAATCCACAACCGACTCTTCTCTTTCTGTCTCTGTTGGTCTGCTTCGTGTTTTTCTGCTCCCAGACCCTGAAATCAGTTAAGAGGAAGTCAGATTAAAATCTCCCACTAATATTTCAGCTCATCTATTCAACAGACTTGTGTGACCCTAAACGCCCCACCACAGGCCTGCAGTGAATTCTACCTTCATGAAGGTTGTAATGTGAATGTTTTTAAGCCGTTTTAGAGAAGCGTTGATTCCACTGTAACACAGGCTAGGTGTACCTAATAAACTGCCAATTGAGTGTAAGTTGTTGTTAAATGAAAATAAGATAGAAAGTGAAATAGAAACCTACAAACCTAACTATTACAAAATAACTGAACAAGAGAAATCAGTAAATACTTTTCCACTAAAACACAAGAAGCTCCTTCACTTTCTTCTTTCCACCTCCTACAGACCTTTAATAAACCAGTGTTTATTTTACATAAATGACATTTTAAAATATATTTCATAAATAAGCCACATGTGCCTTTGTGCAGTTTAAGCGCCTACATGTGCACATTGTTTTATACATGTACAAATCTAATTACCGATCACTTCTAATCCGAACACACAGTTTCTGAGAGGTTCAAACACCTGTAGCCGCTCGTCTCTTCACACACACTTCACACAGAAAACTGTGCTCCAGTGAAAACCTCCACACGGTCACATTAGACCCGCAATATTCGCTGATCTCCCGTTACCTTGAAGCCTGCGTCAGTCTCTGTGACAAACACAATCCGCTGTTTAACGAGCTGCAGCTTCAGTGAACAACAGCAGTCTGAATTAAATGAGTGTTAAATATCCTCAGGAAGGAGGAACTCCCGGAGACTCAGGTGTCCGCGGTTGTTGGTCGTTTACGCTCTTTCGCATTACAAAGCTCGGGAAGGTCGGTAAAAATAAAAAATAAAAAAGTTTTTAAAAAGTCTGACATGTTTTTATTTTTTATTTTGTTTCTTTGTTTTTATTCTCTCACAAATTCAAGTACAAACCAGTTTTGTGGCGTTACAGCGGTTAAACGTGTGTCGTGTTTATACAGGACTGAAGGAAAAGGAAACAAGGGTCGGACATGTGGGAACTTCCTGGAAAAACCCGAGCTCGTTGTGTCCATGGGTGGAGTATAAGACCTTATTAGGTCATTAAACATCCATTGTTTACATCCATGGATGTTTTTTTCCCCCCCAACTTTATCAAAGTTTAATTTCTAAACAATCACGGCACATTTTCCATGTAAAGAAAAAGCATTTAACCGGACAGTTGTAGATATGTAGGGGAAAAAAGGATTAAACTGAATGTGATACGATTTCTTTGAATAAGAGAAGTGACGAATGGAAGTACAAAAGAAGAAAGTAATGTTTAATTCTTTAATTAATTAATTAATTAATTCACTTTAATGTTCTACACAGCCCTTAAAGTCTTGACCACGTGACCACTTTTCCGTCTTGTTAAGATATAAGTAACCCTGTGTAACTGTCTAATAACAGACAGGTTTCATTGATGGTATAATGATAATTACATAATTAGGAATACAGTGGGTAAAGAAGGACTTGATGAAAGCTTTAATTTAGCAGCTGTGTGTCTGAAGTTGCGTAGAGAAGGACTTCAGAGTCTTTTAGCCCCTGGAGAGAAGTGTGGGACTTCCCAGCTCCCCCGGGCCCCCCCTGCCCGGCTCCCCCGGGCCCCCCCTGCCCAGCGCCGTGATCGATGCCCAGCCGGACCCTGAGTCCCGTGTCCCAGTTCTTAAGTGATCATGTTAAATGTGCCTCTATTTTTATTTATACTGTATTAATATAGTAAAAGTCACTGGAGTCAACCAATGCACAAATAAAGGTATAACTTTCACTTCCTTTTTCTGTCAGTTATCAACCTGTTGATCTGTGTGACTTCAAACAGATCATGTAGCTGTGAAAAGGGAACTACATGACTGCAGGAGTATCTCTGCTCACACACCTACAGTACTGGCCTTTTAAATGTTTCCAATTTTGATAAGTTGTCAAATATCAATAATTTTCCTGGTTCTGAAGAACTGTGTCCTCCAGGGAAGGCAGCAGCTGATTCTGAGTCTCAGTAAGTAGGAACTTATCACTTCTACACTTCGTGTTAATATATACTGCACATGTGTTTATTCAGTGTGTGTGAACCAGGCCCACTGTTACCTCTGTGAAAATACATTTTACAGCAACTCATTCTGCCATTTATTTAATTTCAAAGTGATAAAAACAAATAAAATCATGTGAAGTGAAGAAAGACATTTCCTCACATCAGTCCAGTGACGCAGGAAGAAGTGAGACAGTGACTGTGCCAGTCAGCAAATACACTCTATTATTTTACACTATATTATTCACATTATATTATCTTAATATGCTATTATTTATTATTATTATCATTAATACTATTACTGTGGTTTCTGTAATATATGAAGATGACTGAATGTAGAGTTTAGCTAGTCTATGACCTGCTCTGTAGTTTTGTATCACAGGAAGTTCACATGTTTTCTGTCACAACTTTTCTGCAACTAAACAGGGAAGTTGAGTAATTAGTTCATTGCACATCAGCTCAAATTCATTGACTGAACCATTTCCCCTTCACATCCAGAGATCTCATCATTGCTTCTTTGAAAGTTCCGGCAGTGAATGTGTTATTCACATTTGAAGTAGAAATTCAGCTGAAGAACTTGAATGTTTAGTAAAATCCACTGTATTATTGTGTTTGTAAATCCAGGTGAGGAGTTTCATGGCGGCTCTGTCTGTGAATATGGTGACAGCCAACCTGTTACTGAGTGTCTTCTTTCTGTCAGGTGAGCCGTTTGTTCACTCTCTTTTATTTGACTTCAAAGCTTTAAACTGAAGTAAATATTCTGATGTTGTCCTGACTGAGATCTTGTTTCTGTGACAGTATTTTGTCAATCTCATTATGTTAATCATGAAACTGGGTTCACAGGTGCTTTGGCTGCTTGTCCTGAGGATTCAGACTTCTTCATTACCGCACCACAGAACATGGAAGCACTGACTGGATCTTGTTTGCAAATCCCATGTAACTTCAGTGCTAGACCTGGAAAGATGTCAGACTATAGAACAAAAATCACCGGAGTTTGGATTAAAAATCATAAATATTTTCAAGGAAGACCAGAAAATGTGATTTTCAACAGTAGCAAGACAGTTAATAAATATCCAATGAACATTACTGGAAACCTGAATCAGAGAAACTGCACCACTCTGTTTTCTAGTTTAATCACTAAGTACACAGACACATACTACTTCAGAATTGAGACCACGCCATTCAGGTCAACAGCTGTTTGTGATCCTCTTCATATAACAGTTAAAGGTAAGAAAGTTTCATTTTAAGTTTAAACCTCATTGTTAAGAATAAACAGTGAAATCAGAACATGTGCAACTTAGTTTTTAACACTTGATAAAGTGACGTCTCACGTACATGTAGAAATATTTAGAGCGCCACCATGAGCTTCACATTTGTGGTTTTGAATGAAACGTCTCGACAGCTATTGGATGAAATGTGGTTCAGACGTTCATGTTCCCCTCAGGATGAACTGGAAGAACTTTACTGAGCTCTTTACTTTGAATCTAGCGCCACCATCAGGTGTTCCCTGCTAATTAGCAAATGTTAGCAGGCTAACACCCTAAACATTACACCTGCTAAATTTCAGTTGTCATTGCTGCATGTTAGCACGCTGACGTTAGCATTCAGCTCAAAGTGCAGCTTCACAGAGCAGTCGACTCTTATTTCACTGGAAAATGTGTTTGACTTCACACCACAGATTCTCCTACGAGCCCCAGGATTGAGATCTCAGGTGAGCTGAAGGAGGCGGAGTCTGTGACTATAACCTGCTCAGCTTTAACTCCCTGTCCACACTCCCCTCCTAAACTCACCTGGAACCTCCAACAAGACCCTCACAACAAAATAGAGGAAAACACAGATGGAACCTTTACAACTAAAATCCAGGAGACCATCACTCTGTCAGACAAACGTGATGGATACAACATCAACTGTTCTGCCAGGTATCCTGTGGATGAAGGACAACATGTGAAGACAGCAGAGGGGAAAAGGACTCTCAATGTTTCATGTAAGACCAGAGTTTGTAGTTGGATCCTGTCAGACCATGAAGACTCATCAGATGTCAGTTATTTTCCTCTCAAGGATTTCATGTAGGGCCTGATGCTCCTCTTCTCTCTAACATCTTTGTTCCTTTCTCCCCAGATGCCCCCAAGGACACCTCAGCGTCCATCAGTCCCTCAGGTGTGGTGTCAGCAGGTAGCTGGGTGAACCTGACCTGCTCCAGCAGAGCCAACCCTCCTGTCAGCCGCTTCACCTGGTTCAAGAAGAGCACAGGTGGAGACATGAGCGTATCTGAAGGAGCCTTTTACACTTTTAATGTCACAGATAAGGGAGTTTATTACTGTGTGGCCACCAATGATGTCGGAGATCAGACGTCACCTGAGATCCATCTGTCTGTTGAAGGTAGATACTGAACTGAACTGAATCCACTTTGATCTTTGAAAAGTAAAGACAGCAGAGGATGAATTCACCGAGTTTCGTGTCAGACGTCATTTAATTTTGTTTGTCTGACCTCTGACCTTCCATGAGGAGAGATGAACCAACATCATTTTCCTATGAAGATAAATAAAGTGTCACATCATTAGTGCAGTTTACGTGACGCTTTGGAGAGAGCGTTGTGCTTTATGAACGATGGTTTCCTGATTCACCTCAAAGAGTCGAACTTTACCATGAAATATTTTTCTCTTGTAACGTTTCCCATGAAGTGAAAGCTCTTCCTGCTGTTGTATTACAGGTGATCAACAGCCGGTTGGCGTCTACGTTATAGTGAAAACCCTGGGGATTGTGATGCTTGTCAGCACCTTGGTCGTCTTTGAGTGGTGAGATGAACTTGACTCTGCAGCAACAGACTAACTGGACTGATTTTACATGTGTTTTTTCTGCATGAGAGATCATTGTCACCACGGCAACGAAAAATATGATTCAGTCTTCTTTGTCTTTCAGCTGGTTTCGATGGAGATCCTTCAGCAAACCAGTTAAGGTAAGCTGGTAGATGAGGTTCATCATTATGGATCAACTTCACTGTTTCAGGAGGAAGAAAAAAATTAGCTAATTTAGCTAATTTAGCTTTTCAGAAACAAACAGCAAAGAGTTGCATGTTTGCCATAACAGCTTTATAAAGAAGCACAAGGTTCAATTTATTAATCTATTAAAAGACAGATGACTGATTACAGAACACTAGAAATAAACACCCACACATTCAAGTTATAGAGGAAAACACCTTTAAAACAAAAAACAACATGCAAATGCAAATGATCATGATCATGCAAATCAGATTTGGACCTGTTTTATTTTTGGCCACTTGGGGGCAGCACAGGCGCAACACAGTCCACCATCACCTTACAAAGTCAATATGGCGAACATCATCTAATGATGTCACTGTGCTGTTACTGAAAGTGTTTGAGCTGCAGTAAAGTCTCTACAGAGCACCAACACCTCTCTGGTGTTACTCCCACAGGAAACAGCAGAAGCAGACCGCGTCAACAGAGTGATTGAGTTGTCATCATGAGGCACAAGGAGAAGAGGAAGATGGAACAACTTGTACTTTTTCTCTATTCTATCTTCATTTTTTTTAGTTTCTACTTGTTTGTTTTACTTTCTTTAAAGATGACCCCAGATCTGCGTGAATCATATTTTTTATGTCCTGTTTTTTTCTGCTTTGTGTTTCTTTGTTAAAATCAGTATAAGACAAAAGTAAGAACATAATAATGTGTAATAATATATCTCATGCTGGACGGACTCATGGCCCCTGACTTTCCTTTTGCTTTTAAGATATCAAAAAGATGCTTAGACCTTTACTGCTGTTTCCGATGTATATGTACATGTGAAGTGTGTTAATTAAAACGTTTTCAAAGGCACTTCTGGTAAAGAAGCTTTTCTTACAGCACAAAGTGTGTTAAAGTGAGAAAAGACTGTTCATCACTTATTCTGTACACATACAGCTGTGTCAGACTGTGTAGACGGCTGCTCATGTAATGTGACATTTACAGTGCACGGTGCACGTTTCTACATAAAGTTCAAATATATCATTTGTTATTGTCAGTTGTAGAACATGTTGGATGTAAGATGAAGCACATGGGCAAACATGAAATGAGCTGGTCTAATCTCTGAGGGGGAATTTGAAAACTAAAGACTATAAGATGTAGTAATGTGTGATTTCCTTACTCAGGTTATGTACGAGCAGCAAGGTCAGAACTGTCTGCAGTTCATCAGTATATTAGTCATGTGGGTCCTGTGATGGTCCTCCAACCTGAACGACCACATAGGTCATTCGTTCCCAGTCTCATACGACCCACAGGGGCATTTTTAAGATTTAAAAACTTGTCAATTTGAATAAAAGCTTCTGAACATACACAGGTGTATGTGTATAAACAGGCCTGTTTATAACCTTTATATCTGTGCAGGTGAAGCCCTGAGAATTCTGGGTATTCTTGGTGGCAGACAGTATCTGTGTGCTGGAATCAGCAGAGACCAGAGACACACTGGGCGCAGTAGAACTTGGTTTTATTGGTAAATATCAGGTTTCTGTTCGTCCCAGTTTACAGAGTTTAACATCATGACAAAGATGAAGTGAAGAGACAATAAACATATTATAGACTTATATCAGTCCCAGATTAAAAGCTGATTATTAAGAACCAAATAAGAGGAAAAGTGAAATTTAAAAGTGTATGATCAACCAGTTAAAGATACTGAATCATGTCACTGTCTACTCTGTTTAGATCTACATACGAGGACATCTTTCATTATCCACAGTCCCTGAAATTAGGCTACACAAGACAGCAAATCATGTCAAATAAAAAACACAAGTACATTGTCCCAGGTACACAACAGCATGTTCCGATCATCCCCTGATGTGTGCACAGAAATAGTCAAATATCAAATCTCTGTTTGAGGAGAGGCAACTTATTACTTATTACTGTGAATCACCACAGAACTCACATGTGGACTACAGGTGATTCATCCGTCCCTGCTGTCACATGATCAGACAGACCTATCTCCACTTCTTTTTTATTTAATTTTATATCTCTGCACATTTGCCTGTTGATAAAACATCAATGAGAGACTGTGGCTTACCTGTCCTGTCCTGATAAGGATGTGACCCAGAACGTGGCTCAGGGTCTAGGTGTCTACAATGTGGAGGAAGAAACAATGTTAACTGACCAGGAAAATGTTTGCTTCTGTTGAACCAGCTGCTGCGGTGTAAGACCGGTTCAACTGAGCGCTCTTAGCCGGATCGTTCTGTCACATGGTGCGGTACAAACGCTATGGCCAAGCTCTGCTTTGGTAACCCTCCGTGTCTTTTTGAACTCTTTGGTAATTCTGTTTCCTCCATGTGCTTCAGGTCCATACACCTGAAACCCTGCGCCGCTCAGCCCAGCCTGAAGTCCTGCGGCAGCAAAAATTCAATAGTGGACCCTGATAACTGCCGCTAGTGGCTATATTTTATAACAAGACTTGCCGTCACTGCCGAACTGTGTTCTGCTCTGTGAGCTCAGATCCAAAACTGGAACCTCCCAGTCTGTTGGAAGCCTGCCCTCTAACACAACATACACATGTCAGGTTCATTAACTTACCTTTTTAACGCGTCCTTGTCAGGAAGAAATGAGATCTCATATGTCTCAAGCTCATTATTAGCGTTTTGTAGGTGTAGGTTAGATGAATCTTTCCCTTGGATCTTGGTTATTAGATCGTTCTTTGAAAAATTGTCAGCTCCCACGATAAAGATTGAAATCTTCTCCTCTGTGAAAACAAACACAACAGAATTTCTGCCTGATACATACAGTTAAAAATCAATGTATGGTTCAATGTTGCATTATTAATCCAAATAGTTTCCCTTTAATTTTGACAGTGTTGTCTTACTAACAGAAAGCAATCAAAATATTAAAAACAAAGTTTGTGAGTTTAAAGAAACTAGGTAGAACTTACTGTGAGACATGGTTCTCAGATCCAGCAGTAAAATACAGGAGACAAGCTGAGAGGTTTCTGCAGAAAGCTGCTCTCTGTCTGTATTATATGGACTTGTTATGCAAATATAAAGGGGCTTCAAGACTCACTGTCGACTGTCCAGAGACAAAGGTGTTGAGAAAAGATGGCTTCAATTTCTGCAGGTAAGACTCACACTCACTGTATATATACTGTATAATTTACTTCCTTATTTACTCCCTAAAGTATTTATACATCAGGCCAATGATAAACTCTTTCAGACAGCCTGAACTAAACATATGAATTATTTTGCAGGGCCTGATCTGAGAATCGTGATGATTGGGAAAACTGGTGTGGGGAAGAGTGCTGTTGGAAACACCATTCTGGGAGAGCGTCAATTCAACTCTCGTCCCTGTTCAGAGTCAGTGACTATCTCCTGTGATAAAAGTGAGAAACGCTTTGGTAGCAGAATGGTGAGTGTGATAGACACACCTGGTACAGTGCATGCTGCTGTATTGTCGAGGGTCTAAATACAGCAGCATGCACTGTCAGATTCTAATAAGAAGGCTGTTTACCTTTCCAGAGAGTGAAGGACGGGATGAGAGGAGACGGATAAACATCAAGAATGTAAAGAAAGTGCAACTGATTCAAGATTTAAGGGAACTCAACATAACCTTTTAACATAACGTTCACTTTTTTGCTGGTGACACAATGCTATATGCCACAGGCTCCACCCCAGACTAAAAAACTGAAAATTAAAAGTCAGACTTGGCTCCTTGCACAGAATTAAAGGATGCCTGTCTTTCTCCAGCCGGACAACTATTGTGCAGTCAACCTTCATGTCTGTCCTTGACTATACGGTGACATTCTTTATTGTCATGCGGCTCCATAAGCACTCCAGCAGTTAAAGCGTGATTATCACAGTTTATTACACTTTATCACACATGACTCATCATTGTTCTCTGTATCACACCATGGGATTGACCTCACTACAGTCAAAACAAAACGGCATCTCACGTTAATCATTTATAAAACCCTGCTGTTAAAGGTTGCAAACAACTTCATATCTCTTCTCAGTTAACTCCAGTATCCAGAGAACACGATCCAGTAACTACTTGACCCTTGACATCTATCATGTTGTCCCACTAATATTGGCAGAACTGGTTTCAGGTACTGACTGATTGACTGCGTGATTGAATAAACATTAAACAAAGTATTTCTGCATGTGCTTTTTGTGCACTATTGTGTACTGTCACGCAATTGTTCTGTATTTAACTTGTGTGCCGGGAAATCAATTAGTTTCAGTGTCATATCTCAAGTAGCAGGTAGCCTGTAAGAGCTGCACACATCCTTTCTATAAGCTGGATCCAGGACAGGATGGAGGCCAGTACAACCGCAAATAATACGAGACAGTGTAAGTTGTAACTGACATTGTACAAGCTAAATACAGCAGCATGCACTGTCAGATTCTAATAAGAAGGCTGTTTACCTTTCCAGAGAATGAAGGACGGGATGAGAGGAGACGGATACACATCAAGAACGTAAAGAAAGTGCGACTGATTCAAGATTTAAGGGAACTCAACATAACCTTTTAACATAACGTTCACTTTTTTGCTGATGACAATGCTATATGCCCCAGGCTCCACCCCAGACGCGTCTTCAGTCTGTTTTTGATGACTTCCAACTATCTCTGCTTAATCACAAATTAGTCTTAAATGCAGAAGAAACCAAGTACATGGTTTTCTCTACCTCCACCAGTGGCTCTGACCATTCTGTCATTAAAACTTTAAATGGCACTCATATTACCCTCACTGATTCATACAAGTACTTGGGAATTTGGCTTGACAAAAGATTATTATTCAAGGTTCATATTCAACACTTGACTCAAAAATTAAAAATTAAAAGTCAGACTTGGCTCCTTGCACAGAATTAAAGGATGCCTGTCTTTCTCCAGCCGTACAACTATTGTGCAGTCAACCTTCATGTCTGTCCTTGACTATACGGTGACATTCTTTATTGTCATGCGGCTCCATAGGCACTCCAGCAGTTAAACCGTGTTTATCACAGTGTATTACACTTTATCACAAATGACTCATCATTGTTCTCTGTATCACACCATGGGATTGACCTCACTACAGTAAAAACAGTCAAAACAACTCAACATAACCTTTTAACATAACGTTCACTTATTAACAGTGTAAGTTGACTCTGACAGCAGCGGTATCGCCTCACTAATCAATGAACTGAAGTTGCCACTGATATTTATAATGTTATAAATGTATATTGGAAATGTCTCTTATTAGAGATGTGAACCAAGGTTATAACAGCTTTGGATTTTTCATTGGTTTTAATGTAGAGAATTCTGCCTGAATCCATTAGACTCACTGTGTTGTTGGGTTCACAATTTTGGCCCAATAGATCAATGATGTATTACATTTTGTGTGAAGTTTACTGATAGAAGCAAAGCTGGACTCACTTTCAACTAAACAGTTTGATGATGCTAAGTGACCCCTGTGTCGGGGTTCTGTGGTTCAGCGCTGTCTCCCCTCCTCCCCATGTCTTCCCACGTTTCATGTTTGTCCCAAATCTGTCTCTCTGTTTTGAGTGTGTGTTGAGAAAGACAATACTCCTTCCTGAGTGAAGACTTGACGATTAAATAACACCTTGGAACGATTCTCTCTATAACCCTACTGGTTTGACCCCTTGATCTTTTGATCAAGGAAATGCCACTTACTTGAGGCAGTACCCCTTCCTGTTTTTATTATTAACAAGCATCTGTCACAGTACAACACCTTCTTTCCTCTTTCATATCTATTACATCACTGTCTGTATAGTGGTGAATAACAGTGAATTAAAAGTTAAACAATACGTCTGTAAATAATTGCTGGAAACTTACTTGTGTCACAAGCAGAAAATAGATGAACTCACTGACCTGCCAAAAGTCTGGTTGGATAACATGAAATCTTTGAGGGTTAAAAAATGAGTTTGAATGATTTCAACCTAAGTGTCTGTAAACTTCTGACTTCAACTGTAAATGAGCAGCTCCTTTAGCACAAAGACATAATTACAATAACTGAATATTAGCATTAATTTGCAATTTCTTTAAATGCTAAACAGGTGTTAAAATGAAAGGTAATCTACTGTATATAACACCAGTAGAAAATGAATATTAGTCAGTTGTACATATCAATCTCAGATTTCTTGTTGGATATATATATGTTTATTTCACCTTTGGCATAATATATGACTTTTTCAAGGGCTTTGTAATACACCAGTTAGTGAAAATTAAACAGTATACAATTAAGTTCTGACACACCAAAGCACCAGGAATATTCATATAAAATCAAGAACTACAGAAATACATTATTTTATTAGCACATCACAGTCTGTATTATATCTACTGTTAATCTGTAAAACTTTATCATCATCACCCAAAGAGGCATTCTAACAATCATTAATATATAATTTCTCTAAAAGATTTTTACTGATAGATGAACCTCAGGCAATACACAGCAAGGTTAATGAAAATGAGATCAAATCTAACTAGTTATTAATATTAATATTGTCATCTGACCATTAAAGTAAAATACACTTCTTTTTACACTGGATATGTGTAAGCTTGTGTGTTGAGGCCATTGATTATAGTGATTTATTCTCTTGTAAGAATTTGTAGAAAAGCCTGGATGTTTCTCCACAGCTCATTAATGAAGTTATATTCATCTTCATTCTTGTTGCCCTTTTCAACCACTTCTTGATACATGGCATTCGTGTAACATGATCCCCCGTTTCCTGCCACCATGTCGTCGATCTTCTTGATCAGCTCCACGACTTGAGTTGTGTCTTTCTTGGTGTTTTCAAAGGCGTGGAACCTGCCTCCACATCTTTGGATGACTTTACGAAGGTCTTCACTGCCTTCACGTACATACTCTTGTATGGTCATGTCTCCAAGATCACCACCGCGGGTAAACAGCACAATCATGTACTGGTTTGCTTTTGGACCAAACAGCTTCTGCAGGGCCTCCACAGAGTTTTTCTCTTCTTTGGTGAATCGACCAATTTGGATGACCAGCAGGAAGACATGAGGACCAGGACATGAGACTTTGATGCATCTCACTATTTCTTTTTTGATGAATTTTTGGGAGACCTTTGTGTCCAGGATCCCAGGTGTGTCTATCACACTCACCATTCTGCTACCAAAGCGTTTCTCACTTTTATCACAGGAGATAGTCACTGACTCTGAACAGGGACGAGAGTTGAATTGACGCTCTCCCAGAATGGTGTTTCCAACAGCACTCTTCCCCACACCAGTTTTCCCAATCATCACGATTCTCAGATCAGGCCCTGCAAAATAATTCATATGTTTAGTTCAGGCTGTCTGAAAGAGTTTATCATTGGCCTGATGTATAAATACTTTAGGGAGTAAATAAGGAAGTAAATTATACAGTATATATACAGTGAGTGTGAGTCTTACCTGCAGAAATTGAAGCCATCTTTTCTCAACACCTTTGTCTCTGGACAGTCGACAGTGAATCTTGAAGCGTTTGTTTAAGACATTGTTGTTCATTTATATGGCTGACACGGCGGACACGCCCCTTTATATTTGCATAACAGGTCCATATAATACAGACAGAGAGCAGCTTTCTGCAGAAACCTCTCAGCTTGTCTCCTGTATTTTACTGCTGGATCTGAGAACCATGTCTCACAGTAAGTTCTACCTAGTTTCTTTATACTCACAAACTTTGTTTTTAATATTTTGATTGCTTTCTGTTAGTAAGACAACACTGTCAAAATTAAAGGGAAACTATTTGGATTAATAATGCAACATTGAACCATACATTGATTTTTAACTGTATGTATCAGGCAGAAATTCTGTTGTGTTTGTTTTCACAGAGGAGAAGATTTCAATCTTTATCGTGGGAGCTGACGATTTTTCAAAGAACGATCTAATAACCAAGATCCAAGGGAAAGATTCATCTAACCTACACCTACAAAACGCTAATAATGAGCTTGAGACATATGAGATCTCATTTCTTCCTGACAAGGACGCGTTAAAAAGGTAAGTTAATGAACCTGACATGTGTATGTTGTGTTAGAGGGCAGGCTTCCAACAGACTGGGAGGTTCCAGTTTTGGATCTGAGCTCACAGAGCAGAACACAGTTCGGCAGTGACGGCAAGTCTTATTATAAAATATAGCCACTAGCGGCAGTTATCAGGGTCCACTATTGAATTTTTGCTGCCGCAGGACTTCAGGCTGGGCTGAGCGGCGCAGGGTTTCAGGTGTATGGACCTGAAGCACATGGAGGAAACAGAATTACCAAAGAGTTCAAAAAGACACGGAGGGTTACCAAAGCAGAGCTTGGCCATAGCGTTTGTACCGCACCATGTGACAGAACGATCCGGCTAAGAGCGCTCAGTTGAACCGGTCTTACACCGCAGCAGCTGGTTCAACAGAAGCAAACATTTTCCTGGTCAGTTAACATTGTTTCTTCCTCCACATTGTAGACACCTAGACCCTGAGCCACGTTCTGGGTCACATCCTTATCAGGACAGGACAGGTAAGCCACAGTCTCTCATTGATGTTTTATCAACAGGCAAATGTGCAGAGATATAAAATAAAAAAAAGTAATATATAAAAATTGTGTAAATGTTTTTTTTTTAATTTTTTTTTTTTACTGTAATTCAGGTGGCAGCAAAAAGCCGAAGGAAGAGAGAGTGAACCTGGTTCTGCTGGGAATGGCCGGGACTGGAAAGAGTTCAAGTGGAAACACGATCCTCAGATACGAATACTTCTTGTCAAAACCCAGTTCAAAGCAGGTGACCATGGAGTGTAAGGAGGTAGAACAGGAGATTAACAGTAGACCTGTACGTGTCATTGATACACCAGACATCTTTAATGATGACATCAAACCACCAGTTAAGGACAAACATGTGAAAAGGTGCAGAGAGCTCTGTCGGTCAGACCCCTGTGTGTACTTACTTGTGATGCAGGTTGGCAGGTTTACAGACGGGGAGAGAGACGTACTGAAAAAGTTAGAAAAAGCTTTTGGTAGAAACGTTCATGAACAAACGATCCTCCTGTTCACCCGTGGGGAGGAGCTGCAGCGTGCTGACATGAGCTTGGAGGACTTTCTACAATCCTGCCAACCTGAGCTCAAGCACATAGTGGAAAAGTGTGACAAGAGGTGTGTGTTTTTTGAGAACAGAACCCCAGGTTCATATCAGGTGGAAAAACTAATGCAGACAGTGAACAGTCTTATTCAAAAACAGAGTAAGGCCCAACTCCAACCCAGCTCCTACACCCCAACCCCTTACACTCAGTTCCCACAGTCACATGGAGGGTCATCCAGATGGTAGAGCAGTGGAGCGTCAGGACGGATTCCCTCAGTGCTGCGGAGATAGGTCTGTCTGATCATGTGACAGCAGGGACGGATGAATCACCTGTAGTCCACATGTGAGCTCTGTGGTGATTCACAGTAATAAGTAATAAGTTGCCTCTCCTCAAACAGAGATTTGATATTTGACTATTTCTGTGCACACATCAGGGGATGATCGGAACATGCTGTTGTGTACCTGGGACAATGTACTTGTGTTTTTTATTTGACATGATTTGCTGTCTTGTGTAGCCTAATTTCAGGGACTGTGGATAATGAAGGATGTCCTCGTATGTAGATCTAAACAGAGTAGACAGTGACATGATTCAGTATCTTTAACTGGTTGATCATACACTTTTAAATTTCACTTTTCCTCTTATTTGGTTCTTAATAATCAGCTTTTAATCTGGGACTGATATAAGTCTATAATATGTTTATTGTCTCTTCACTTCATCTTTGTCATGATGTTAAACTCTGTAAACTGGGACGAACAGAAACCTGATATTTACCAATAAAACCAAGTTCTACTGCGCCCAGTGTGTCTCTGGTCTCTGCTGATTCCAGCACACAGATACTGTCTGCCACCAAGAATACCCAGAATTCTCAGGGCTTCACCTGCACAGATACAAAGGTTATAAACAGGCCTGTTAATACACATACACCTGTGTATGTTCAGAAGCTTTTGAGGACAAGGAGGAAATGTCCTTAACAAAGTGACTCATTCCCCCTATACTTTTGAAAAACACCTGGAAGATAAATTAATTACTATTTATATGTGTGACACAATGTGAAGGGTAATACGACCTCTTTATTACTTTTATATTTGTCTTTTGGAGTATGTCAATGGTAAATAACTAATTTCATTATTCTCCCTAAATAGAGAATCACAAACACAAAATGGTTAAAATATTAGACTGAATCTGGTCTAAATATTTTCTCAAATATATAAAAATATTAAATGTCTCCCCACATCATTTTTGATTCTTCTTCTGTGGATTGTGTGTTTGACCAAATGTACATTCAGCTCCAGGGTCAACTCGCCTTAACCAAACACTAAACTGTTAAACTGGTAAAATATCTCCACCTGCTGGACATTTGATGTTCAAGTTCCTTACACTCCTAAGGTGCTGCCAAATGAGTTTACCACATTTAGTAACATTTATCCTGTGTAGAGACCCAAACAAAAACCTATGCTCTCTGAATATATTTATAACCCGTGCTGTAGCCAGATAATATTGTACAGAGGTACTGGGATTCAGAGGATATACTGAGGGCAATAAAGTTGTATTCTCTCATTGCTGAACTCAGAGGTGTGCACAAAGTCATTAAACATAATAAAAACCTAAGTCCAATCAATATTTGTTGTACCTCCCTTTGCCTTTAAAACAGCAGCACAGGAAGTGCTAAATCTGCTGTAAATGTTAAATAAATGTTTAAGTAAGTATGTAAAGTTTAATCTGTTTTTTCATATTTGATAAACATATTATAAACATATATATTAATATATGTTTTTACTTTTTTATGAAGTTGTATTGTCGTCTGTGAGGATCCCAACAAGAGCCAGGTTCCATTAAGTTGTCAGTTAATCAGGATCCAAATAAACCAACTATTTAAAGACAGTAAAAAATAACAGGATGATTAAGGTAGAACCTGTTTGTTTACTTTTCACTTGATTGTCAATAATGTCAGGAACACTTTGACTGTGGAGATCCATAATCGTATTTCATTGTACCTTAAATGATTTTACTTTACCATGCTGGAGTCTATCTCAAAAGAACCTCTTTAATTGCTTGTGTGCCTTCATCAGCCAGCAGGGGGAGTCGTTTACCTGTTAATGGTCAGAGTGAGCCGAGCAGGTTGGTGGATTTGTTGGACTTCATCACTGGTTTCTTCCTGAAAAACAAGCATACTGAGTTCCTTGTTCAGAATATCATCATCATAATTAAAATAATGCATACATAAATTAAAGACCCTATAGTGGAATGCACAAAAAATGTTTTTCTATATTTAACAAACGTATTAAAAAACAGTCTAAAGCACCTGTGCCAGAAAATTCTATATATTTAGAGCTGAATGAAATTTATTCTGGCCTTTTGCTCAGTTCATTTTATAAAATTTCATTATTATTGTAATAGATCGATTTTCTCTACTTGTATTTTCCTTTTGTGTTATAACGTATATTTACTTCCACATTTCAATCCTGTTTGTTTTGTTTTTTATTCTTTTCAATCAGTAACTGTCTTATTATTTCCCATAAGTAAATTATATAAAAGATGTAAAACATTGTGGTGCCGTTTGGTGGAAAATCCTCTTCCAGCATGATATTTTGTTGTCTCTTAAGTTCTTTAACACTTCTTTATTTTAATCTCTACTTTTATGATTTTGAGAAAAGTGTAAGGTGGTTTTCAATCATTGCTATTTGAGGAAGCTAAGGCTAGCTATTTGTAAGTAGCTGTTGCTACATAGCCAACGTTAGCATTGACAGCGATACTTTTTCAGAGCAGACTGCTCCGTATCACAAAGTGACGAGAAAGGCCCGCCAGGCCAGACCTAGCTGGTTAGCATGCTAACTTTGGTAGAAGTAAAGAAGTAATAGAAATAGAAGAAAAATAAAAAAGGTTGCTTTCCACCTCTGGAGACAGCTCTTGGTGAGTAAAGGAATAACGTTTGATGCTAGAATTGCAATGGCTCTACCTCTACTAGACTAAGTAAACAGCCGTTAATGCTAACATTAACCACGTAGCGATAGCAAAACTTACAAACAGCTCCTTTATGGTATTACCTGATTTAGTGACATCTAGCGTTGACATTGCATATTACAACCAACTGAGAATGGGAGAGGAGGGTGGCAGAATGATGGTGGTCATTAGGTAACCTAAAAACATCTAGTGTTTTTTTTTCGTCTGTAGTCTCTGTGTTTAGTTTGTCCATTCTGGGCTATTGTAGAAACCGAAACATGGCTCCGCAAAAATGGCGGATTCCCGCTACTGCCACGTAGATATGAAGGGAACATCCTAAGTCAACGAAAACAATGATTCAGTGTCAGGTGATTATACACTTTCTTTATCCAATGTATTTCTGCCATTATATCCTGGTTAGGTTCGGTAATTGTATTTCAAAATAGTAAAATGTCACATTGAACGTTAATTAAATGTCTTCACTTGTATGAACAGAGGTAAACTTTTACAGGAACCGGGAAATATGTCAGGGAGATAGTGAGTTACCAGGTGAGCTGTAACTTCACCCTCGCTTTTTAGAGTACATTTGCTTATATTTTGGAAATTTTAATTTGCCGAATTAGCTATTAACAGTCCATATTCGCTTTCTACTATTGGATGTACTGACATCTGTCACTGAATGATTTTGATACTGAAAAAAAACTTATGAAACTGATTATTCTCAAGCTGGTTTTTGAAGCGTTCCAAGTCCTGCCCCATTAATCTGTCGTATATTATCTTAATGATAATAATTATGTCAACCTATCTGATAATTACTATTAGGGTTTCCGAATTTTTTCTTTTCTGAATGTAGTAATTGTCATTATTATTGTTGTGCTTTGATTTTGAAGGGAATGTAAAGCCATTTCCTGTTTTCTCTGAGCTAACTCCCACTAGCTTGTCGCCGGTGGAGTTAACGGTCCCAGCGCAGCATCCAGCCTTCAGACCGGACGGTACGCCGCTGAACGAAGGAGGAGCACCGTCATCCCTGTCAGCTTTGCAGTTTCTTCACTTTGTTTACAGTGTCAAGTGGACGGTTGGGACCCCTGGGTGCTTTCTGGACAACATTAAGTCTCTGAAGAACTAGTGGAATTTAACCGCTGGAGCACAGAGGAGGTTTGGAGGATGAACCCCCAGTGTGCCCGCTGTGGGAAGATCGTCTACCCGACGGAGAAAGTCAGCTGCCTGGACAAGGTAGGCACTTTTGTTTATAGGTAAACATACACACAGACAAAAACAACCTGTAATAACTTAGGTGTATTCATTCTGCACATACTGTGTCAGATAAAACCTTAAAACCTGCGAAAATCAGAGTTCAAACTTGATCAAAAGGTCCGTGAAGTTGTTAGAGACGCAGGTGGAGATGTGGTGGAAGGAAAACGCCACACACCAAAGGACTGTATCATATCCTATAACATATTATAAGGAGTATATCACGTTGGGTAAGAGTTTTCCATTAAAAAAAGGCCATTGAGAACTCAGGTTCTGATACAGTTTGATTGATTGATTAGTGGTTTATCTTGTAACACCTCATATTTCTCCTTTTTAAATGTGTCCCAGGATTTTATGTTGTTGGTGATGCAAACCTTATGTGTTAACAATAGAGCTGCACTGACATCTTTTTTCACTGCTGATTACTCTTGGCAGTACACTTTAAAATGGCCAAATGCATAAATAAATACATAATATAAATAATATAAATAAAGGCATCAATAGTCAAACAAACCAAAATATCCATTCATCAATGACATAAAACAGAAAAAGCAACAAATCCTCACATGTCAGAGGCAGCAACCAGTGAATGATGTGTTTTAAATGTTGAAATATGGTTGTCATAGAGACAATATCTACTACTATAATCATAAATAATGTGTATATTCACCTAGAAACCATTGTAATACTGTAGCAAAGACTAAATGTGTGGATATATGATACGTTTATGGTTAATTTACCACTTGATACGTCTTATCTCATCATGTTCTTTGCCAGCATTCATAAAATGGTAACTATCTTTCCTCTGATGTCAAGTAAACATTCATATTATTTTTAGGACTAATGCTTAAGTTAATGTTGTATTTTTGTTCCTGTATTTGCAAAGGCAAAAAAACAAACCTACACATAAGTATAAACCTGTTTTCACAGCAATGGTAGAAGTTCCCAAATCAAACTGTTACAGTGGCATCGTTAAAGACACAGAAATATCCTGACAAATACAAATGAACACACTATTGAAACAGCATAAGTGGTTTTGATAATTATGATATGATAAATAAGGAATATAATAGGAATATTTTAGGGCTGTTTTTGTTTTTTTATGCCAGAACACAAAAGTAAGTTGAGTTTTATATTTGCATGGTAACACCTCAGTAATAGTCTGTTGCATAATGCTGATACATTATTAATTTTCCTCAGCAGTCTCATGCAGCCACTGTCTGTCCTGCGAGGCATCCGATGACACAACAGCATGTAGGCGCTGCACATGATGTTAGCTCCCACATTTCATAATAAAAGACTTCCATTTTGCAAATCTGTCGCAAATGAAGTGTTTGTTGATAGTTAAAGTGAACAAAAATATCACTATGCCGCTTTATCGTTCAATATCTCTGAGAAAAAAAAAGACCAAATTTACCTTCTGTCCTGTCTCGTTGAGGCTGACATGACGTGTTTAAGAGAGACTGACGGTATAAAAGAGCTAGAACAGTGTGAGAGGCAGTGATTCAGAGAGGAGGAGGCTGGCAAAGAAACAGAACTATATGGAGAAAGCCCATTTAGTCAGGCCTTTTGAAGATGTTGGCATCACTTACATTTTAGCCACAGAGCTTCATTCCAGCTGATAACAAAGAAGTTCTATTTTTTCAGGTTTTGGCTTTAATGATGTGTTGGTTATTTCACTGAAAATTCCTTCAGGATCTGCTGAGAAAATGTGTGGAGGAGAAACGATTGATCGGAGGTTGTCAGGTGTCATTTAAAAGTTCGTTAACAGCTTTCCCACTGATCTTCATCAAGTGCGCAGTTTTTAGAGCAAAGAGCAAAACGGGGACTCAACAAAACCTTGTTGATTGAACAATGTCTGATATGTAAATTTCTTCATATGTCTTGGACACAAATTAAAAACACATGGAGTTACCAATTAGCTGGGGTTTGGTAACTTAATATTTTAAATTGTTTATTTTTTTTGGCAACTTTATTTCCACATCCAGCAGCTAGAGAGCCACATGTCGTTCACATGGTTTTGCATCTGTGTCACCTGATGACTCTCAGTCCAGTGTTCCCTCTCTTTCTTTTATCTCTGTGTTTGGTCTCCTCCAGCTCCAGAGGGAAATATCTGGCTCTTTAGCTGCTAAATGCGTCACTATGTTCACCGGCTGCTCTCTGACTGAGACTGTCTGCTGTTTGCTGCTGAGTGGACAGTGGACAGTGGCTTTTTTAAAAAGCTGCTGCATCCGAAAACGACACTGAAACAGTGAAGTTGTGATCTGGACAGTTTAACAATGAGCTGTCAGTTCTCTCTGGTGGACAAACATTATCGTTTTCCATAGAAACGTTAGAAAAGATTAACCTGCATGAATTACTACCACCTCCAGACTCTGGTTCAGCCTGGTGCAACTTATCGATGCCATGTGGATTTGCATTCTGACACACCATGCTCTGTCATCACAGTGAAGCACGGGATAATCATAGAACGCATACAACCATGTTAACATCTCAAACACATAATTTCGTGCTGACTCACTCCCTAAGGATTTGAATAATCCTAACGCAGGACAGATGGAGGGCGATCCAAACTGGATATTGAACAAACAAATGTTTGGCAGTGAGCTGACTTTTCCTCTGCAGTCTGTCGCATTCTGGTCTGACTAGATGTCAGTGTTCGTCCGGCCTCCTACTGTATGTGTGTAGCTCGTGTTTCATGCTGTTTGATCGACGGGTGGTTGGTTTGTGAGACGCACTGAGCGGCAGATACAGACACTAAACTAAGGAACCTAGAAAACGGTCAAAGTGCAGATTGAAGCTTCATCCTTCACCTTACAAAGCTTTCAACCAAATCTCATGGACTTCCTTAGCGCGTGGAGTCGTTCGGTTGTCATGGAGATGGTTTAGTTGTTAGCATGTGGTTATGGTCATGTGATAACAGGTGGTTAGAAGAGGTCGGAGCCAGAGACCATCTTCGGACAGAAGCGGTGACAACAACTAAACCGTCTCCATGACGACAGAACAGCATCATCCAGGGAAGGCTGAAAGTAAGTGGACCGTGTGGACTCGTCAAACCCAATACTGATCTGTAACTCTCTGTGTGTGTGTGTGTGTGTGTGTGTGTGTGTGTGTGTGTGTTTGTGTGTGTGGTTGTTCTCCAGAACTGGCACAAAGGATGTTTCCACTGCGAGGTTTGCAAGATGACCCTGAACATGAAGAACTACAAAGGCTACGACAAGAAACCCTACTGCAATGCGTGAGTCCACATCGCTCTCTCTCTCTCCTAATGTAACACTTAGGTCTCTCTCACTCGCTCTCTCTCTCTCCTAATGTAACACTCAGGTCTCTCTCACTCGCTCTCTCTCTCTCTCCTAATGTAACACTTAAGTCTCTCTCTCTCTCTCTCTCTCTCTCTCTCTGTACAGTAAGAATAACACCACATCCTGCTCTAATCTATCATTATAATAACTTTAATGTGCGTATTGTTTGTTGTATATGTATGAACTGTCTCTGAGTGGAAACACCACCCACTGCTTGTAGCTGCTGTGTGATTATGTGTGTCTGCTTCCTGCCTGCAGCCGCTTCTTATCATCAAGGTTTTTATAGCAGCGCTGGTTTTTGGTTTTTGGTTTTTGGTTGGTTTTGGTGGTTTTTGGTTGCGAGCCCAGCCCTGCTGCTGGTTCTGCACCGAATCTGTGCATTTTTCTCCACACTGCTTGTTATTATCTGTACGGTATGATAGACAACACTGCCACTTATTGCCCTTAAAGAATATTTAGCTTATGGCCCAACCCTCATAGACACTGGTGAAAGGAGGCAAAACTTGGATCTGCGTTTGATGGATGATGGGAGTAAATTATAGCTTGTGCTGTGGTAGCATCTTAAAGGGAAGACTGTGGCTTTGACCTTTGAACTTGTTACTGTCAGTTGCTTGTCATGTCAGCGATCTGAGAGTGGAAGCTAACTTGACTTTTGTGCATCTAGAAGAGAGCATCACCCACTCATCTTAAAACATGTGCAGTTAAGTGTTGCTGTTTTTGTCCTCTCTATAACTTCCCCCTACACACACACACACACACACACACACACACACACACACACACACACACNCACACACACACACACACACACACACACACACGCTTGTTTAATGCAGGAGAAATTTAGAAAGATAATAAATACCTGAGGGGGAACTGAATAGTTAATTTGTTGTTTCTTGTATTTTGTCACAGAAAAAGTTCCAGCAGAGACGAGAACAAAAACACACTTTGTCCATCAACCAGCACTGACTTAATGGCTCCACAAACACACACACACACACACACACACACACACACACACACACACACACACACACACACTTGTATATATGCAGATACACAATCTCACAACAGTGGACTTAATGGCAGAGAGTGGTTTCAGTGACCTTTGACCCTGTGAGGTTAAAAAGGCGTTTCCTCCCAGCTTGTGGAACACACCACCTTTGTTTCCACTCAGACCCCCCCCCCTCTGCCCCCCCCCCACGCCCAGACGTCCGCGCCCCCGCCACGCCACCAGACCCCCCCCCCCCCCCCGGAAAACACAACTAGCATTGGTATTAACTTCCTGTGAACTAGGCGTGACACGGTGGTCATAGTACCAGGTGCAGCAGTGAACAGTCTTTTCTTTTCTGCAGTTGAGGAAAAGTTCAGACCTCTGTGTCTGTAACATGAATAAACAAGATTTAGAAATTATAACTTGTAACTTTTTTCCTTTTTATTTTTCAGACAACCTGAATCTGCTGTTGCCGCCGAGGTTGTGTGTATATCTGATTTTAATTTTTGATTAGGATTTTGTCTCCCAACGATTATGAAAACGAGATAATCGAGATAAAATAATTATTGTGCCGCATTCTGTTTCGCAACAAAGCCCCCCCCCCCCCCCCCCAACACGCACCCCCCCCTACAAAAACCATCCCCCCATCCACTTCCTGGTTACGTTTGGGCGTACCTTAACAACGTATGTAGGAGTGCGTCATCTTTCTGTAAATAGTCCAGAGAGACCACACTCTCATATCTTTAACTTATATCATGTACAACCAGAAAAACGACATGGACACCTTTTGTTTTGAAATCTGTTTTTTTCAGTAGCTGCGTGGTGTTTCCAAAGTCAATGAGTAATCGTTTTAAATAACTGATCTCAATATGGATCAAAAATAAACGTGATAATGATTTTTGCCACAGTCGAGCAGCTCTAATTATCAGTGAGTTCCTACTATGTGGAGTATGTGTGGGTTGGTAAGTTAAGACCAAAATATTCCTGCCTACAAAAGTGACTCAAACCTTGATGAAGCTTTGAGCTCAGACTCATTTACAGGTGGTGCACACCCCAAAACACCTGTACGTGCAGTCTTTTGTTGAACATGTGTTGTGTTGTACATCCTTGGAGTGTGTGTTAGTCTGTTGAGGAGTGTGTGGAGCAGCGTTTCCCACAGGCTGCAGTTCATGTAGCTGCTGATGGTTATTGATGACTTGTTGTTAATGTTTCATCAACTCTGACTCCACTAACTCTGAGCTCAGTGTGAACTATAGATGAACTAAAGTAGACCAGATGTGTTGTTCTGCAGATTTGTTTCTGCTAAAAGTTCACATATATCTCTGACACAGGGAGAATCCTGTGAGCTGTCAGCATTTTACATTTCACTCGTCTCACATGTTGCGGTTTATTATATAAAAGAGAGAAGTAGCAGACGACTCGGTTTCTCCTTCAGTATTCACAAATCTGTGGGTGAATTCAGGTCAACCCACGTTCCTGTCTCACTGGAGCTAATGGCTTTAGTGTGTGTGTGTGTGTGTGTGTGTATGTGTGTGTGTGTGTGTGCTTGCCTTCTGCTGAAGAATGTCACAACAGGGCATTAGGGACCTGCAGGGTTATTTATTCCACTTAACACGACTGCTTTAAAGACAAAACGGAGAAACTGAAAGGTTTGATGTGGACTTTCTAAAGTCTAGTCCTTTGACTTCAAGGTCAGAGGTGACTCGGTGATGTAATGTGATTTATATGTATGATATTATTTTGTGGACACAATAAATATCAGGTTTCAGGATACTAGCATGCGAACGAAGGTCTGTGTCCATGTGTAGTGTGATTATAGATCAGCTCTAGCTTCTATATTAATACTGTGAAAGTATCAAAGCCTCAGTCCACAGAGAAATGCACACAGCCTGTATTCAGAAACTGAGCCTTAAAACCAGCCGTCAGGACTTCTGGAACTTTGTGATGTCACAACAAAGCAGTCACCAAGCCCCGCCCACCTGGACCCACCATCCAAACCTTTGCAGGATTTGGTTTCTCTGAGTGTTTTTACCTGAAATCTGCTGTATTTTTATTGGATCACTCAGAAAACAGTCAGCCAATCAGAAGAGAGGATCAGAGCCAATGCATCTTCTTATGGATCAAAACTTAAAATAAAACACAGGAAAAGTGTAAAAATGTGGGACCTTTTAATATTTAGAGTTTTTTGGCTTCTCACACTGAGTAAGTAGTTTCAAGGCTTCAGTTGTGATGGATATTTGTCATTAATATTTAAATTGACTAGTTTAAAAATGAATCAATCATCAATATATAATAAGGAACCTTAAAGAGAAAATTTTGGATGTGAATCTTCCCATCAAACATAAAAGTGTGAAAGAACAGAGTTTAATCAGTTTCTGTGTTTAAAGGGAAAAGAGAGAAAAAAACAAAGATAAATAAGATCCGTTTCCTCAGTTTTCTGAATCACTGAGGAATACATCAGTTCTCCTCTGTGTCCGAACAGTTACTGTGACAGGTTTGTTTACTGCAGACTTCCTGCAGGGATCTCTGACTCCACAGTGACAGTTGTGCTTTTGTACCTCAGTGTCACATGTAGCGCTCGGCGCACAAACCAGCGTCCTGTAATTAAAGAGTCTCTTTACGGCTCCGGCTCCCTCTGACGCTCGTTGTTTTTAGTGCAACAGAACTGATGTGTGTTGTGAAAAAGCCCCGTGGTTCTGTTTGTCTTGGATATTCGTGTCATGATCCGTCTCCATTGTTGAGCCGCGGCTGTGGTCGACTCTGTAATGACAGCGATCACATCTGAACTGACGGCCTCACGTCTTCACTCTGTGACTTTCTACCAGGGCTGCACAACATGCAGATCATGTGATTTCAGTTGGAAACATGTTCCTTTACGTCTGGAGAATATGATTTGAAATCTGTGGCGTCTCTGTAGCACCACAACACTTATGGTGCAAACAATGCACAATAATGTGACACGTTTTTCCTTTATCAAAAAAACCCTGCCATTTTTTTGAAGCTCATGTGATTTGGACATTGCACTTGGCTTTATTGTGATTTTGATGATATTTCCATTGATTGTGCAGCCGTCACACTGGCACCTTTTAGCCGCGTGTTTAGGTGATTCTCCGGAGCACGCCCCAGACTAAAGTTGTGGAAACCTTGGAATGTGCCAGGGTTGTGCCAGTGTACAAGCTTTGTTAGCCTGAGGCTAACGGCTCGGTTAGCCTCAGGCTGCAGTGTGAAAAGCTTATTTATGTCTTTGAGGTCTCATTGAGACGTGGGATTTTGTCTGTGCTTGGAGACATCCTGAATGTTCACATGGATCAAGCTGGTGTTTATTAATTACACTCAGGCTTGATTTTAAACTTGGGGAGCTGAGCTGTGAGGGTGTCAGTTCAGGGGGAACGTAAAGGTCGGTGGATTTTATGGTCATGGTCCCGTGCTTCTTAAGATCCAATCTGCAGGAGGGGGACAAGTGGGCAGAAGGATTACAGAAGCACATGAGCCACAGCTAACACACACTAACACACTCTAACACACAGTGTTTCCTGACTTTATTAAAGCACTGATACAACAAGGTAAATGGTTACACACAGGTAATATTCCAGGGAGGATGCAGACCTCATGGTGTCAGTTCTCACACTCCGGCCTCACAGTTTCCTTAAGGTGAAGACATGCACACACACCGTTACACACATATACAAACGTATGGATTCCTATGGCAGGTCGTGAGTTTTAATCTGTAGTGTATGACTGCCCTCTGTGGCCCAGGATGCCCTTTGACCTCTGAGCTGCACCACAGCTTTCCCAGACATCTTTTACCCTGGTTTGAACGGAGAAACTTTTTAACACAAACAAAATTGTCCCTAACAAACTGTACGTGTGCAGGAAATGCTAAAATAATGATGTACGGTACGTTTATAATGTAGCAGGAGTTAGAGGAGAGGTGTTTCCTCT